CACCGGAAGTTGTGCCTGGCAATTGTGTGGCAGTAATTTTGTGGCTCTATTTGTCAGTACTGATCATATGGACCATAAAGCAATTTGTATTGTTTCTTATCCAGTTTATTACGTAACCATTCGTACCCAACTGCTCACATCTCAGAAAGCATGACTTCTTTAGGATTTTCACTGGAGTCAGTGGTACTTGATTCCTTCCCTGCCTTGCGTGTTCGGCGTCTTGTCTTAGGGTACATTCCTTTGGGGTGATCTGGATCAGGATAAGTGATCCAAGATCTGTCTGGATCATGGTGCATCAAAGGAACCAATGAATCCATGACCAGAGTAGACTCATTGGTTCCTTTGATGCACCATGATCCAGACAGATCTTGGATCACTTATCCTGATCCAGATCACCCCAAAGGAATGTACCCTTATTCTTCGTCGTATTTGTCCCGGTTACCTTTGTCCCCTTTGTTTGTTTAGGCTTTGCCAACATTGGTTTGGCGTATTCATAATACAATTTACCTGTCAGAGGAATGAAAACTCCGAAAACTGGTATGAAACACTTCCAATTCTACAGTAACAACTTACCTTCAGAGCAAGCGACCCAACAGCGATACCTGGTAGAACTGAAATGTAGCGTTAAATTCCATGCGGAACAGTGTTTGTCATCTTGTCTGGTCAGCATTTGAGCACTATTCTTATGAAGTAAGATGAGCCGTTTGCTTTTAAACCGCAGGTAATTACTTTCAGGCCTTGTTGTTTTAATCTCATTCAACCAGAAAAACGTCTCTGAAAATGTTTTGCTCTTTTTCTCGAAACTATATTTTCAAGAAATTGGGTGCACATTTTAAGTTCACATGCATCAAGTTTTCAACCGTTTTAGCTCAAATTTGGCGAGAATGTTCCTATATAATGTGGCTCAAAAACCTTATCAGCGTTTTTGTTTTTTCCCATTCTTTCTAGAGTTGTAAACAAATGAAGGAACAGGAGGGATATTTTTTCGCACCTCGAAGTTTAACCAGGCATAAAAAAACAAACCAGGCAAGATATCAAAATTTGCCAACACGGTTTTTGAGACAAAGTTGTTAAGAACTCGGCGCAATGTTTGTCTCTTCCTCTAGATCACTTCCGACTGCACAGGAACTGAATATTGCAAGCCATGTACTTTTGCAAAACGATCACTATATTTTAAAGGCATTTATCTTTTTTCTTTCAATAAATATGGTATGGTAGTCTTCTTGTATTAAGCTTTCAGAAAATATATAGTTTGTTGGGTTTTTATTTAACATCTTACCTTAAAACGGTGCGAACGCTAAGCGGTCATTTGGGGTGGGATGTTACCTTAAACTTGATATTACTATGGAGAACTCTACACCTATGATAACATTCAGATGCTGACCACCTGATGAATTTCAGCTTCTCTTCATGGTTAACGTTGTTAAATTGCATTTAACTTCATATTTTTTTTTGGACAATGTAAATTTGAACAGACAAACATTAAAACTGCATTTATGTATTATAAGTGCTGTTTGTACACCAGTCCTGTAAATTAAACAGAAACCAAATTGAGAAAAATTAATTCATAAATTAATCCTATTGCTGATTGCTTTTCAGGCTGGTCTTCGTGGAGTCCCTGCTCTCAGAAATGTCATATTGGTACCCAGACAAGAACACGTACTGTTACTACTCCCGAAAGATGGGGTGGCAGCTGTCCATATTCCCTTACACAAAGTCAGCAGTGTGGTTTAATCAACGGAGGATGTGACCAGCTTTGTAACAATGGAGTTTGCTCTTGTCAGATAGGCTACACTCAATCAGGTACTGTAGATCTGAAGAGGTTGAAAGGGTGCTTTAACAGCCATTGGCAATGCATCAATTGCATGAAAAAAAAAATCATATCAACTTCTTTTTAGTCCTTGTTAGCAGAGTTTTGCTTGTACTACATCTTTACAAACACTTTTATTTATTTATTTATTTATTTATTTATTTATTTATTTATTTATTTAAGTCACTGTAACCCAGGCAGAGTCAAAACTGGCCTAGATTTTCTTATGTGATTGAGAATAAAACAGAGCCAAAACTTTGATATAACAACATGGAAATTTCTTTAATTTGATGATTTTTTGGGGGGTTGAGTTTAATATTAAACTAAAAGTTACAACAAAATACTGTATTTTCTTAATTACCATTTCAAGAATGCCAATTGCTTTTAAGTAAACTTTTATTTAATATTCCTTTGTTTACTAGGTAAAAAGTGCAATGACATTGATGAGTGTGCATCAAATAGTGGATTGGGTCCCTGCAGTCACATCTGCAAGAACACAGTTGGCTGGTACAAGTGCGAGTGCCCCATGGGTTATTATCTTGGCACTGATTCCCATAAATGTCTTGCGTATGATTGTGGTGATCCTACTACTCTGTTGAATACATGTCCATCAGATTCCCACAGTGATCACGTCTCCTCTGTTTGTGCTAATGTTGCGGCAAGCTGTTTGCAAGGAACAACCTACAATGAACAGTGTTCCCTGAACTGTCCTCAGAACTATGCATTAGCCAAGATCACTGCTCAGCCGAACAAGAAGTTTGGCGAGGATTATTCCAATGTCGACTTTTCATCGGTGATTTCTAGTATAACTTGCCAAAAAACTGGCCCAGCACAAATATCCAATGTCTGGGATGTGAGGGACAATGAGCTCAGCCAGTACTATTGTAGACGATCAAATGATCCTCCTGTCGAGTTGCATCTGAATGGTTCTGTTCTTGCGGAGCATTCAGCTATCGGGACCTTCATTGGAACACTAAGTTCCCAAGACATGCAACCGGGACAGACATTCATGTACACAGTTCAAACACCAAGTGCACTTCTCGCAGCTCAGGGAGATAAGTTAATCAACATGTGGGATAATCCAATACTAAATGGAAACGTGTCCTTAAACGATGGCACTTTAGAAGTGACAATTAGAACAACAGATGATGGTGTGCCTCCCATGTGGCTAGAGAAGACATTTCCAATCACAATTCAGAATGTGAATGACCCTCCTGAGCAGGTCAACTTGTCTAATACTGATGTCTATGAGAATGCAACTGTAGGGACAGTGATTGGAGAATTGACAGCTGTTGATGGGGACGACCCACCAAATACTGATCCGCACTCAAACTTTAAATGGGTGTTAATTCATGATGGTGATGGAAAATTTGGTATTAATGTCAACAAGATTGTTGTTGCTCAGAGTTTGGTTCCTGGATTGTTTAAGATAACAGTCGATTGTTCGGACTTTGGAGTCCCAGTGAAATCAACCACACAAGACTTCATAATAAATGTGATGAACATCAATGACGTTCCACACTCATTACAACTAGTTGGCACCACTGTACGTGAATTGGCTCCTGTTGGTACCGTTGTCGGGCAGCTTGTAGTAATAGATAAGGATGGTGATGATGTGTCTTTTGACATCAGCCAATCAGATGCGGGCACACTGAATAAGTTTGAAATCGGTGATGTCAGATGCATACGTACAGGTCATGGACTAGACAATAAGTGCAAAGTGAATGTCACAGTAAAATCTTCCCTAAATTATGAAGACAAAGCATGGTACAGGCTAAGTGTTCAAGCCAATGATTCTTATACACGAGCATTTAAAGTGTTCAACATCGAAGTTAAAAATGAGAACGAGGCTCCAACTGCTATCAGTTTGACAGGTTCTCATTTTGTGATGGAAAATGCAGCGGCAGGAGCTGTTGTTGGACAATTTTTGGTATGTATGAATCCATTCCAATAAGAGTTAACTGTGACTAGGGACACTTCAGCAACATTTAGCGCAGGCACGCTCCTACATGTGACTGTATCCTGTCCAAATTCAGTGTGATGTGAATGATCTGGTTTACGTCATATGCTGAATGACGTAATCAACAAACTTCTTAGTATTGTAGCCATAGATTCCTATAGGGGTGCCTCACGTACAAACAATGTAGTGCATCCGGTTTAAACTGTACATACTCAAGCCCTATATCAAATAGACCATTTTACAGTTGTCTGCTCAGTGACCTGGCCTTTGAATGGCAGCGAGGCTGAAGATGACCTTGTCTTGATACAGACCTCACTGCTTTTGTTGTGTAAATCAAGTTGTTCTAATGCTAACTAGGTGCATTTACATGACAAAACCAGAGAGGTCTGTATCAAAGCAAGGTCACTCCAGCCTCACTACCATTCAGAGGCCAGGTCACCAAGCAGACCACTGTACATGTAAAATGGGCTATTAAAACTTATAGAGCTGGCCATCAAACTTTGAAATAAAAGAATTTTGAAATAAAATTAATATATTGTCAAATTTTTACGACCTCTAAGTGTGAGCTTCCAAATCATCAAATCCTCTTAAAGTGCTGGATCAGTAAACTGATCATGAGAACTTCACAGTGCTTGCATTTGCTTTAATGTCTCAAAAAAAAAAAAAAAGGCTTCATGTGTGAGAGTCAAAACCACTCACTTTTCATAAAAGTTAATAAGTATAAATTTTTAATTTATTAATCAAAGTATTTTAACTGTTAACAGGTCACTGATCCAGATAATGCCAAGTCCCCATCACATCAAAGACACACATGCTTGTTTGATGTCAGTCAACCTAGTGATGAAAATTACTTTATCATCAGCACAGGACTGGTGTTGAAAGTGAAAGGAGCTCAACAGATTGATTATGAGCAGATGAAAAGTCTGGCTTTCACTGTGATTTGTACCGACAGTGGCAACCCACCACGCTCACTGTCAGCTGGCTTTGTTATATCTGTGAAAGGTACATAGTGACCTTATCACTGTTATTATGTGCTATTTACTGTAGGTAATTAATGTTAGACCTGTTTTATATTAAAAACTATTTTGAATCTGATCTTCAGCTATAAAATTGATGGTAATATATAGATTTAGCCAAGCCTAAAAGTGGAGCTCCCATAAAATAATATATCAGGGACTTACCAAGAGAAGATTGTGCAATGAATATCTTGGAAGAAAGGTCAATGTGCCAGGGGTTATTTGCACCAAAATTCTGCCTTTGTACATACCCCCTCCTTCTCCCCCAGAGTAATAACCTTGCTTGAGCCTACGATCCAATCAAAAACCAGTACCTGGGCAATGGTCAACTTGAAAAAAAACACTCAACCTTGATGAGTTCTAAGCCAGAGCACGCAACATGGTCATGTTATACTTGTCAGTGGACACCTTGTTTTGGCAGAACTCTGTCAATTGACCATGGTGCTCTGCTTAGCAGTCCTCTGGAGAGCTCTTCTATAAAAACTTTTTAATAAATTTAATTTTCATCAACCTTACCTATAATCTATTTAATATCTTTCTTCAGATGTCAATGAGCCTCCTGTTAACCTGACACTGTCTAGCACAACTGTTGACGAGAACACTCTCCTTAGTAATCCTGTGGGTAGCCTTTCGTCAGATGACCCAGACCATCCTGGAGGTGTTCATACTTATAGTATTGTGGGTCCAGCTGGTGTGCCATTCAGAATTGGTGGAACTAACAACAGAACACTGTTAGTGAATGGTCCCTTGGATCATGAGACAAGTCCAACAAGCTTAGTCATCATCAGAGCTACTGATGATGGAGGCCTTTTTATAGAAAAGACCTTCAAGATAACCATCAATGGTGAGTTTTATATGCTGTGGTCTTTGATCATTATACAACAAAGTGTGCCAGAAAATGAGTAGCACTATCTACATATGTAGATCCTCAAAGATCATTAATTTTGTCCTGTAATATTGTATAAATTTATCTGCCTTGTTCTAATTTTTCTTTGCTTATTTCTAATTTCTAACATTAGGCAGCTCAAAGAAATTAGCAGCAATGCTGCTCTGTCAATTTGAGGGTAAATGAAATTGTTGTTGGTGATGATGATGATGATGATGATGATGCCAATCAAGAATCTTTAACACTTTAAGGATCATTAAATTGCTGCTGGGATCTTCAAAGATCTTCCCAAAGATCCNTTGATCATTATACAACAAAGTGTGCCAGAAAATGAGTAGCACTATCTACATATGCAGATCCTCAAAGATCATTAATTTTGTCCTGTAATATTGCATAAATTTATCTGCCTTGTTCTAATTTTTCGTTGCTTATTTCTAATTTCTAACATTAGGCAGCTCAAAGAAATTAGCAGCAATGCTGCTCTCTCAATTTGAGGGTAAATGAAGTTGTTGTTGATGATGATGATGATGATCCCGGTCAAGAATCTTTAACACTTTAAGGATCATTAAATTGCTGCTGGGATCTTCAAAGATCTTCCCAAAGATCCTTAAGGGTCTTCAAATATTTATCTCAAAATTTTTGCCAAGACCTGTGCAAGATCTTTCATTAAATAAACATGTTTGTGAGATCTTTCAAAGATTTTATAAGGGTCAAGCATATTTTAAATCACTAATAATTTACATTATCAACAGATGTGAATGATCCACCCAGCAACCTCACTCTTCCCACACCATCACTGAGAGAGAACAGTGCCGAAAGAGTGTTGATTAGTTCCATAATACTCACAGATCAGGACGGAGACCTTCCCTCCTGCAGGCTCTTGGACAGTTCTGGTGGTCGTGTCAAAGTTGTGGGTACAAATCTGGTTGCAGGACTGACTAAAACAGACTATGAATCCAATGACATGCCTTCAACAAAGGAGTTTAGTATAACATTAAATTGTTCTGATGGACACGGGATGTTTATTGCAAAGTCATTTCTCATCAAAGTTGTTGGTAAGTGAAAGTGGAATAGTCTGCAATGTAGACTAGTTTAAAAGAATGGCTGTTATTTATTTTCTTGGTAGTTCAAATTAAAGACACTACTAGAAGTCTGAATTTTACCTGCTAGTTGAGGATAGAGAGAGGTGCTCATGCATTAAATAATTTATGATGATAATTTCAATGTGTGACAATTGGCTGATCATTCAGTGATGTTAAAAAATATTAATCAAAACAAGTGACTGGCTTTTTTTTAGAATTTTGTAGTGTTTGACCACAAACTTTGAAAGTCTTTGTTTTCACATTTAGCAAGTGCACTAGTTGTAATGTTATAGCTGGTATTATAATTGTCCATAAAGGCATTGATTTGTTCTAGATGTCAATGAGGCCCCATCAGAAATCAAACTGAGTGCCACCTCTGTCCGTGAAAATGAACCTGATGCAGTGGTTGGTAAAGTGACAGTTTCTGACCCAGACAAAGGCCAGCTTCATCGGTGCACTGTTCATGATCGTATTGTTGATGTGGGATCCAGCACTGGGACACCAAGTCAGTTTTTCACTGTGGATAGTGCATTGAACCTCAAGACATCACACGGTTTGAATTTTGAAGCTCAACACAGCTTGGATATCATGATCAACTGTAGTGATAATGTGACAGACAGTTTCTTCAAGACAGAGTTGTTTACTATCACAGTCAAAGGTAATATTCTTATTCATTTGTTCAATATATTGCTTAATGAGAGTCAAGGTTTTTATGACCAATATTTAATTTCTTTATTCTTCCTTGATATTCATAGATGTTAATGAAGTGCCATCCGATCTGTGCAATGCACCCATCTTGGTGGGTCTGAAGACTTCAGTTGGTGCTGTGATTGCAGTCTTGCGTGGCAGTGATCCTGATAATGAAAACGCAATTCATGACGATCCTTCAAACCACAGCGTGGTTATCAAGAATAAACAACAATTGACATATTCCTTGACTGTGCAGAACTCCTGGCCTTTTAGAATTGACAGAAACAGTCTTTTCAAGAGTGAGGTGAGTGACATAAATTATGCCAATTCATTGTAATGTATTAATACAATCATTAGTATTGTCAGTGCATTTAAAAGTTAAGACTCAAATGCGACAACTATGACTCCTACAAGTTGTAACACTGAGTGCTGTAACTAAGTCCTATTTGTGCACTTAGTACAAGTGGTGTTTAGTGTTACCTATCAGTGAAATAAAATAAAGTGTTACTTCATGGAACTGCGTGCCTTCATATACACTTAAAAAATAGCCCAAAGAAAATACATGCACTGATTGGTTAAAAATTGTGTTTCTACTAACTTGATAGAAACACTGAAATAACACGAGCTGTTGAAGTGATGATGGCATGGGCAAAGAGCATTTACACTTTCATGATCAAACTAAACAAGTTGTTTTCATTTTTTTCCCTCGAGGTATTTTCTAAGAGAATTCCAAAACTCGTTCTCTACATTTCTCTCGAGTTATAAAAACAACTCAAGAAAATTTTAGGAGAACTCTAAAAGGCTGTGGAAACACTCACTGCCAGCTTGTGTTGCTACAGCATTTCTTGTTCTCCCAAACGTCCATTCGTGTTTCTATAACGTGACAGAAACCCAGAACATGTTTTCTATTTCACAAAAAACCTAGTTTTAGAGGGGCTGGATTAGTAAACCGTGAGTCATTGTCTTTGTACTGCAGTGTTTCTCTCCATGCTGACAGAGAGCATTTTTTAAACATTTCAGCAAATATCTATATCCCAAAACTTCACAATAAGTGTGGAAGTCAAGGATGATGGCATCATTGTGGAAAGTTTCTCTTCCAAGGGATACCAGTACACCAAGAGCAAGTCCTTGTCAGCAGTCTTTAATTGCACTGTGATTGTTTCAGGTATGATGCACATTTCTCTGCTTAAAATTTATTTATTAATTAATTATGCAATGAATTAATTAATTGATTAATTTATCCTGTGGTAAATTAATAATTAAACCTATGTGTATTATGTTATTTTTATTGCAGTCTTAATTACATCTGTGGAAGGTGTGGTGGCCTCATGGTTAGTGTGCTTGTCCCCAGATCAAGTGGTCCGGGTTCAAGTCCTGGCCAGGGTCATTGTGTTGTGTTCTTGGGCAAGACACTTTACTCNATTGTGGAAAGTTTCTCTTCCAAGGGATACCAGTACACCAAGAGCAAGTCCTTGTCAGCAGTCTTTAATTGCACTGTGATTGTTTCAGGTATGATGCACATTTCTCTGCTTAAAATTTATCTATTAATTAATTATGCAATTAATTAATTAATTGATTAATTTATCCTGTGGTAAATTAATAATTAAACCCATGTGTATTATGTTATTTTTATTGCAGTCTTAATTACATCTGTGGAAGGTGCAGTGGCCTCATGGTTAGTGTGCTTGTCCCCAGATCAAGTGGTCCGGGTTCGAGTCCTGGCCAGGGTCATTGTGTTGTGTCCTTGGGCAAGACACTTTACTCTCACAGTGCCTCTCTCCACCCAGGTGTAGTTTACCTTTGTTACATCTACTGACAGAATGGTAATGATGGGATATCCGAAGAATTATTTGCACTTCACAAATGACAGTGTCTGTAGTAAGACATTTGTGCACATGTACAAATTAAATAAATGGATACTCTACATGTCTGGATACTCTACATCGATCGGGGGGGGGGGGCACTGCCATATATGGGCTATATAGGTATG